TGAGTTTCCATTTCAAATCATGAGTTACTTCCATTTCGAAATTTCTGTCAAACAATGTCACCATACATTTTTCAGTAGATAAACTCAAATGAATCAATCCAAACATGCCCCTGGGTCGGTTTGAATTAGCTTATTTGAATTTATCTACTTTCTGACATAAACACTACTGAGACTGTTTGTTAAAACTAGACCATTCTTACTATTTTTAGATACTACAATGGACTATTTATAGAGCTATCTCCATTATATCCTAATAACTAATACATCTACTTTTGATTCTTTTCAGTCACTGGAAAGCTGAACCTCTCAAATGTATGGAATGACTCTAAGTTGCTTGTCAATTACAACCTTCCTCAAGTGACGGAATTCGTAGCAAATAGTATATGTTTGTTTTGTAGCTTGATTACTTTACTGTTACTTGGTCAAGCACTACTTTTTTTTAACTAATTGCATTTGTATATTTTCAGTGTAGTGTAGCACCAAAAGATGTTCATGAAAACCAGATTCAGTTTGCTCTTGAGCGTGGTGTGCCTGCCCATGTAGCAGTATTTGCTACACATCATTTGTTGTACCCGAGCTAGGCATTTGACCTCATCCATTGTTCGAGATGCAGAATTAACTGGACTTGTGATGGTACTCTTAACATGAAGAATTTAAGAAAAGATGGATAAAACTAAAATCATGATTATGTTTAAAGACTTATGTTCTTTGTACTGATATCCTGTTTTCATTTGCTTTCGTGGAGATGAAATTCTGCTTCTTGAAGCAAACAAGCTTCTAAGGGCTGGTCGCTACTTTGTGTGGGCAGCGCAGCCTGTATACAAACATGAAGTGAGTCTTCAAGAACAATGGAAAGGTAACTATTTTTCGTATCAACTCACTTAAACATTGATATAGTTAGACATCATCTCAGAACGTGATCTTTGGATTTGTTATTACTTAACAGAAATGGAGAACCTTACAGCTAGCATGTGCTGGGAACTGGTACGGAAAGAGGGTTATATTGCTATATGGCGGAAACCTATGAATAATAGCTGCTACCTTAGTCGTGATGTTGCTGTGCATCCTCCATTATGCGAGTCCAATGATGATCCAGATGATGTTTGGTAAGGCCCCTTGTAAATGTTCAACTCACCTAACTTACCTATATTTTATTTGAAGTTTTCATGATTGCTAGCGTGAAATGGAAAACAATGTCTAACATGAGTCAAAGATGTTAGATTGATTGTTCAAATATTCAAATACGAAGGTTGCTGATAACCATGAAATGTTTTGCAGGTATGTTGGTCTTAAGGCATGGCCTTCACGCCTCCATCAACCACCAGACAGACTTCAAAGCATCAAACTTGATGCTGTTATATCCAGAAACGAACTCTTTAAGGCCGAATCAAAATATTGGTATGAAATAATTGATGGTTATGTCCATGCTTTCAATTGGAAGAAGCTGAACTTAATAAATGTAATGGACATGAGGGCATGCTTCGGAGGGTACGATAGTTTGCTTTTTCTTTTTCTTGTGTCTGTTTTTTTTGAATTCGTTGTCTGTTATCAGTTGCAACATGATTATGGAACTCTTCTGTGTGTATTATGAGGTAACTTTCAATTTGACAAATGCAGATTTAATGCATCAATGTATGATCTCCAGATTGACTGTTGGGTTATGAATGTTGTTCCTGTTAGCGGATTCAATACCCTGCCTGCTCTATACGAGGGCTAATAGGAGTTATGCATGATTGGTAAAAGAAATTTGCTTATATTTTATGCAATTCGTTTTATTGTCTGTAGACGAAGTGACAGTAACACTAGAAACTCACACACACAACTGCGAGATCTCGGGTTTGTATCCAAGACAAAGGGTTCAGCCTAATAAATTTAGTTCATCTTGACAGGTGTGAGCCATTTGACACAGATCCGAGAACATACGATCTGCTAAATGCAGCAGGTCTCTTATCCGTTGAAAAAAAGAGGTTAATTACGATTCCATCTTTCAAGCTTTACATTTCTCTATAAGCACATGCAAATTCCGGTGTTTGATAAATTATTATAATCAAATTTCAGACTAAAGTATAATATTTCAACCATCATGCTCGAGATGGATCACATGCTTAGACCATGTGGTTATGTATATATACGCGACTCGGTACATGTTATCCGTGAACTTAAACAAATTGCGAAAGCAGTGGGATGGTTTACTATCCAGGATGACGTAGGAGAGGGCCCTTATGCAAGTCGGAAGATATCAAGGTGTCAGAATTCAAAAGCAGCTAACGTCTGCTCGGTGTACCTGATGAGCTTCTGGAATCCAACCATCCAACTTACTTAAACTTTAATTCATAAAGAAAAAAAGTGCTTCTAAATTGCAGAGTAACAGGGAGATTCATATATTGATTTATGAAACCAGAAATTTGAAGAGTAGTTTTATACTTCATGCCATTGTTGCATTTCTAATAACAAAATTTCTAGAAGAATTTATACAAATGGTGAAATGTGATGAAATAGAATATGTGTAGAATTATTTAATATTTATATGTGCATACAAATTAAATTCTGGTTATAAATGCACAATTCTTTTAATTTATTTACCCTATAATCTATCTTAAGTGTACCTGAGATGCTAATAAGATTAAACTTTTGTTTATTTCATACTTGAGTGATGTATGATAGATGACAAGGTTGTAGAAATTTTGTGAATTATATGTTGGGACAATACAAGAAAAAGCTTAACCTCTTGTAATATGGACTATTCTAACTTATCTTTCTCTTCCTCTTCTAAAGTTTTGAAATTTCTTTTTCATTCTTATAAATAAAATCACATTTTTTAGTCATTATTTAATTATCATTTGTTTGTCGTTGCAACTATTAATTTTCTCCATCCGCTGGCAGGCTATAGTGAGAGATTTTAGACTGACACTCAGTGGTTATATCTGACACTCCCATGATTTTTTTTATAATAATAAATATATTTTTTTACATTATTTATCTTTTAAAATTAGATTAAATATATATGAGGTCCTTATAAATATGACAATTTTTAAGTTTAATTAATTATTTTTTAAAATAATGGTTCTCACAAAATTTTTGGTCTTTCCTTAGTTTCCACAAACATAAATTTATGTGACATGTCATTTTGAATTTTGTTGATGACTTGATATACATGTGGCAACGTCAATATGGCAAAAAAATACATGTCAATTATTTCTATTTTAAATTTTTTATATTAATATCATATCTAAATCCATAAATAGTAGCTAATGTGTGGCTAATATCTAATCTCTAACTAATTTAAACACACCATTCTATTAGTAATAATTTGTAGTTAATTTCTAACTAATTTAAACACATCATTCTATATACATAAATCATTCAAGTCATTATTGTCTTAAACTATTTTGAGGTTGCAACCTCTCATTTGGACAAGTGTGTTGATTTATCATGACAAACCTGTTAAAAGCATCAACATTATTATGTTTAGAAAACTATTTTGGTTCCGTCAAAAGTTTTTTTTTATTTTTAAATTTGAGTTTGTTAACTCACTTTGACTGTCAATAAGGCAAGGCTTTAGACTGCATTTGGTTGTTGCCTATGTTAGCATAAGGTTTTGCTGTCTGCTTCTGTGTTAAGCAAGGATATCCTATTTGATTTATGCAAGTATGTATGCCTTTATTGAAGGGACTAACATGGATGTGTTAAGGCATATGTTGATCAATTTTGTTTTGGTTTTATTTTTTATTATTATCAGATTTGTTTGCTCATATTGGTTTGTGATTGTTTTAACAAGATTGATAGCTTTCATCTAAAACAATTTTTGAATTAGTGTGTGAGTTTGGCATTGTGATAACCAAAACTGTTACTGTCATGAGATGGGGAGATTGACTGTTGTCATCAGGTTTTCTACACTTAGTGGACCTATGTAGGATCCTTTGTAGGTGCTTTGCTTGTGTGAATTTATTGAGGAGAGGGTTGTCATTATAGGTCTGTTTGAATTCATGTCAGGGTAGAATTTCAAATTTCGTTCCTCATACCCGTGCGGACGCACGGGTCTTCTACTCAGTGTTTTAAAAATCGGATTGAATCGGCCGGTCGGACTGGGAACCGGCCTAGTAACCGACCTGGTTTATTAGTTCGATCGTATTTGTCATCGAACCGGTGAAAACCGGGAAAAACTGGGTTGGACCGGGAAAAACCGAATTTAGGGTTGGACCGGTTCTAATGCATTTTTTTATTTTTTTATTAAAATTTAAATGCAAAAGTTATAAAAATTAAAAAAATTGTTTTGATTGTTTTGAAATAATTTTACCTCCTTGGAACTAAACTTAAGTAGACATTGAAGTTATTTTGTTATAAATTATTCAATTATATTATGTTGCAATTAGATTTTGTAATTTGTATTATTTTGTTATGTGTGATAAATTTGTTTAAATTTTGAATTTAAATTATGAACTTGTGAATTTATGATATGATATTTTCAAAAAATTTAAATACTAGTTATATTTTTTTAGAAACTGAATCATCCGGTTATATCTATAAAATGACAGGTCTATTCAATCGAGTTATTCGGTTTAATCCGATTTAGTCATGCGATTCGACTCGACCATAAACCAGTGATACAATACCCTCACCGGTTAGATGACAAGTACAATCTTTAAAACAATGCTTCTTCTAGTTTAGTATAAAAGTGATGTAGCAAATCTCAGGTAGGAAACTACTAAAATATCCCCACTTCAATTTCGAAATTGCAACTCTGCCACTCATTCATAGCCTCAACCTCTCTTTTATTCACGGTTCAGTTTATCCCTTCCACCATACCACCACGCACCAACGACGGAGAGGTTCGTCCACCGATCACCTCCGCCGCCGCCTCCACTGTCTTCCGCCTGCTGTCTCTCTACTCGTCGCCCTCTCTCTCCCATTGACTGTATGCAAATTCTAACACAACACAAACCAACCCAGAACCACGATTTCATCTTTCTCTTATTGAATCTCCCGCTTTACCCTTTTCAATGGAATCCTTGATTTCTCTCAAGGCTCACTTTTATGCCTTTCCTTCCTTCTCATCCCAACCCAGAACCACCATATCTCCTACTCAACTGAATACTTATAGAAAAAAACCCCTTTTTACTGTTTCTGTTCGAGCACAGGTGAGGTTTTTATTGAAAAGTTTCTCTCTTTTTCTATTATTTTATTGTTTCTACTTCTACATTTATACGGGCCTTTCTCTTTTTCTTCTGGGGTGTTGGTTTAGCTGAATTTTGACTCTGTTCAATTGGATTTTTTCTGTAATCATGTTTTTTGGGATTATTTTGGGTTTTGATTATGGTGGAGCTTAATGAAGGTTCAGCTACAATAGCCACATCTAGTGAATTTAATTTTTTTAAAAACTTATATCTATGTTCAATTGGAGTTTAGGGTTTTGTGTTCAATGGGAGCCTTGTGTTTTTGGGAGTAATTGGAGTTTTATTATGGTAAAGTCTTGTGATTATTCAGCTGCAATAGTAAAATCTAGTGAACTTAGTTGATTTTTGAATGATACAGTATATGTGTTCAATGGATGCATTTATTTTGGTTTGATTATGAGGAACCCTTTTTGATTTTATGTTTTTGGGATTGTTTGATGTTTTTGATTAGATGGACCCTAATGAAGATTCAGCTACAACGGCCACATCTGGTGAACCTGTGGTTGAAGCTCTCAAAGTTAAGGAATGGGAAGTAGGAATGTTTCATAATGAGGTTGCTGCTACGCAAGGTATAAGAATAAGGAGAAGGCCACCAACTGGACCCCCTGTTCATTATGTAGGACCTTTTGAATTCCGATTGCAGAATGAGGGAAATACACCGCGTAACATCTTGGAAGAGATTGTGTGGAACAAGGACATTGAAATTGCACGAGTATTATAATTGATTTTCGTTGCGGTTCTATTAAGTTTTTCTTGAAATTGAGAGCTTGTGTTAATGTGAACTATTTGGTTTTCAGCTAAAAGAAAGAAAATCCCTTGCTTCGATTAGTAAGTCCCTTAAAAATGCACCTCCTGTTAGAGATTTTATTGGGGCTCTAAGGGCGGCTAATGAACGAACTGGATTGCCTGGATTGATTGCTGAAGTGAAAAAGGCTTCACCAAGTAGAGGCATTTTGAGAGAAAACTTTGATCCAGTAAGTTTGTTTTGTTTTCCACTATGATTTTTAAGGACAGAACTATTATCTTTCTATTTCGTTCGTTATTATTCTTAAGTTCTTACTTATATCATGTGGGAAATGTTTGTGTCGGCTCCAACGGTGCATCCATTCAGTGTTGTCAAATAGTGACTATAATGCTATAGGGTAGCGGAATTTTAAAAAAGCGGTATTGTTCCGTGATACATAATCTTGAGATTAACGATTTGGATAGAAGCATGGTCTTGAATAGAACATTATGGCGAAAGTTGATCCATGCAGCCAACCCTACTTAGTGGGATAAGGAATGGTTGTCTTAGTCATAGAGTATTATCAATTAGTGGCCAAATCAGCATTATAGCACTGTAGCATGGCGAAATTTGAACAAATCACTAGTTTTTGCAATCACCGATTAACAACACAAACCCATAGCATCTTGTTGATTAGAGTCAGGCTAGACTATTTAGCTATTCATTTTATTTGTCTTCACTAAATCTATTTGCTACACGAGTTCTTGATTTGAGTCACGTCTGCATAGAGAAGTCATAAATTATTTGTCTTTTACTATTATTGCATTTATAGAGTTGAATCTATAGTTTTTGATTTTTTTTTGTCTGCTTCCATTTATCACAGTTAAATACAAATATGAGGAGTTATTGCATTTTTTGTGTGTACCACATGACTAAGACAAGCATCAATGAAATATGTAGTAAATACTTCAAACTATGAGTCTGTATGAAGCACGGTATGCCTATTTTTTCAATGGCACATTTATTTCTTGATAACTAGTTCAGGTTCATGGTTTTCAAAGATGTATTGCTTTAAAATAAGAGCCCGTTCTGTTTTTTTTTGTAAATTACAAAGATGTTATTAATTAAGTCGAGTATTTTGGTCTCATTGCACTTTTGTATCACTTCACCTGCCGAACCCTTCAAGAACTTATCCAACACCGTTTTCAGTTTTTATTTCTTCTCTTCACGGTGTACGGCACTGTTTAACCGATTCTCTCATTCAGGTTGAAATTGCTCAATCTTACGAGAAAGGTGGAGCAGCATGTCTAAGTGTTTTGACAGATGAAAAGTACTTTCAGGTAAACTAACTACCTTTAAATTCGTTAAAAGCGCGCTGCTAAATGCTAACCAACTCTAACTTGAACTTGTCTTTTTTGTCCAGGGAAGCTTTGAAAATCTTGAGTTAATAAGAAATGCTGGAGTAAAGGTTTGCTTAATGAATTGCATTAATTCCTCATATAAGACTTATTCTGCCATCCAATGCTTCATCTAAGTCATGCTGATGGCACTAGAAAAAATATGCAGTGCCCTTTGTTGTGCAAAGAATTCATCGTAGATGCTTGGCAACTCTACTATGCTCGATCTAAAGGTGCAGATGCAGTCCTTCTAATTGCCGCTATTTTACCTGATCTTGACATCAAGTACATGGTTAAAATATGCAAATTACTTGGAATGGCCGCCCTTGTTGAGGTAAGGCCGTTGACGTCCAGCGTGAATAAAACATTTTTTAGATTTTTGATACTTGATGCTAAAAAATAAAAGTTTATTTCTGAACCTAGTTGAGTAAGAGTTTACTCCATTTTTTTTATTGTTTTAATGTAGGTGCATGATGAGAGGGAATTTGACCGTGTTCTTGGAATAGAAAGTGTTCAGCTTATTGGCATCAACAACCGCAATCTTGGTATTTTATATCAAACCTATTCTTTTCTGTGTGTCAATGTCCGAATAATTCAACTGAAAGATCTGTGTCATCAACCGTGGCATCTAATTTTTGTGTTGTTACAGAAACATTTGAGTTAGATATCAGCATCACGAAGAAGCTTCTTGAAGGAGAGCAAGGCAAAATAGTTCGTGAGAGAAACATAGTTGTAGGTGTTCAAAGAATTATTATTCCATTTTAACTTAAAAAAAGTCATTTTAAACTGACCATTATATGGTTTGTTTAGATGGTAGGAGAATCTGGTTTGTTCACCCCTGAAGATATTGCCTATGTACAAGAAGCAGGAGTTAGAGCTGTAAGTATTGGAAATTTCATTTCTATTATCTGTTTTCATAAGTCATCTCCGAGAGCTTATCAAAATAAGCTGAAAAGTAGCTTTGACACTGAAGAACTTTTAAGATTTTACGTTGACAGAATATCAAAATTAAATTTTCTGCAGGTTTTGGTGGGAGAGTCTCTTGTGAAACAGAGTGATCCTGGAAAGGGAATTAGCAATCTGTTTGGCAAAGATATATCTGTTTGAATTGACAAATATACATAGCAGATTACGTTATCATCAAAATTTTGTTTGCTGCAACCATATACCAAAATACATTTTTATGTTGACAGTTTTTCATTACAGATTATGATAAGATTCTTCTTTTGATGCCTTTTACAATTGCTTGTACTAAATTACAAAAAATATAAAATTGGTTAGCATTGGAACTTGGAAGCAATGATTACATGGGTGGTTATTTCTATCCAACTATCATTCTTTTGATACACATGATTCTGATCTATTGAGTGGTCCTCTCAAATTCTCTGCTTGATCCTCTGCTTGGTCCACCATGAACAAGTGATGATTTTAGCTATGGATATATTATCATTTAATTTTAACGGTTGAGATTGATTATCGATTACCTATTAATTATTAAAATTTTAATTTTTAAATATTTAATGTTTTTATATTAAATAATATACTTTTAGTTAATCTAAAAAATTAATTTATTTTTATGATCATCTTCATTTCCAAATATTCACGTTCTTCATCTAAATTTCATTGAAAAACATAATAAATCACAACATAAATTTTTTTTAAATTTGTCAATATTAATCTTCTAAAAATTTAGATTTCAATTCTAGATCTACTACCATATGAATCTATTTTGAAATTTTGGATTTGATTTTCATCCTCCAACCCAAATTCACCATCATCTTCAACCTCTGATTCACCACATCTTCATCTTCCATCATCCCTAAAAATTTAGATTCACCAACATTTTCATCTTCTATTATCTTTAAGAATTCAAATTCATTCGTCTCATCTTCACTGTTTTTTGATTAATTTTTCCCGTTTATGAGAAGATTTATGTGGTTGTTATAAAACATTGAGCTTGGAGATGAAATTTTAGGTACTTTGTTTTGATACTTTGTGGTGATATTAAAAAACTTGATGTAGTAGACGAAGAAACATGATGAATATGTATTTTGACTAGTATTAAATAATAAAAGTTAAAAAAAAGAGATGTAAATGATTGATCAAATATTTTGGAAAAAGATGATATTGAATGGTTGACGAGTACTGGTTAGTTGCAAATTTTTTGAAATAAAATCAATTAGTATTGATTAATTGAATAAGCCTGAAAAAAATAATAATTAAAAATAATTAATATTTGATCTTGACGGCTGATCAGAATCTGAAGTGGGCTAAAGACTTCGTCTGCGATGCTGGGTTTCAAAGATGAGGAGGGGGTATAATTGTAAGGCACTCCGATGCTAAAGTAAGAATAAGGAGAAGTGAAGGCAAGTACAAAGTGAGTGTATCTTAGGATGTTTTAGAATACCTGACCCTCTCAAATGAGAGGGTTTTTATAATGCCCCCAATGTTTGACCATTGATCCCTATTTTTGGGGTGAGATATTCGCTCCCCAAGAATAGGTAATTGCCAAAAACTAGCTGTTGTCGTGGACAAGAGCGTGATTGCGGACACGGACGCCATGACTGTTTCTGGATGATGGAACCGTGCGTGACAAGCAAAAATGTGACGAAGGCAGCAAATCCTAGGGGTCAGCTGGCCAGCCTTCCTCAGCAAAGGGGCAGGGGAGAGAATGTTTCCCTTTGCCCTTAATTGGCAGGGCTTAGGCTATTGGGCTGTTCTGGGAGCAGAAGTGGATTGGTTCATGCCTAGCTATTGGCCCAGTCCAGAACAGGAGCCCCCCAAGTCATTGCTCCTGAGCATAGGAGTGATGACTTAAGGGCAGCCCGCGGTCTCGAGGAGTAGGCGTGATCGACGTCTGTTACTGAGACGGGGTTGTTTCGTGGTGCTCAAAGGCACTTGTGCCCCGGGAATTTGGAACTTTGTCCTGCGTGCTCGACGAGCGGGGAGCCCAACGGTTGATGGGACTTGAAGAGATGGAGTGTCACGCGTGCTTCGAGCCACGTGTTGCATTTAATGCGTAATGATGGCTATATGCTAGGGTCATGATGATGCCTCTGCGCCGCATGTGCTTATGCACGTGCCTCTGATCTGTCTATAAATAGAGGGAGAAAACGTTCATTTTCACTTTTTGCTTCTCTCTCTCTTCTCTTGCTGCTTGTCCTCGTTTCTGCCATCCGTCGTTATAACGTCGTCGCACGAGCAACGACCAGACTTCTTCGACCAACTTTTCTTCTCTTCGACCTCGTAAGTTTTCTTCACCCTTTCTGTTTTAAGTGTTTCAATCCCTGTTTTGCTTAGATTGCATGTGGTTAGGATGAAACTAGATAGAGTAGGGGTGGTTTCTGGCGAATGTTGGTGGCTGGCGGTGGTTAGGCCATTTTCTTCCGCTGACGCCGTCGTCGGAGCATCGGGAACTTGTGATTTTTTGTTGATTCTGACACCGTTGCGACAACGAGTGAGTTTGTCGCTGGTGGAACTTATGCGTTTTCCGGTGGATCTCCAACGGAATAATGGGTAACGCACTAGGGAGGATCTCCCCGTGTGGGTTTGAGGATTGGCATGAGTGTCTCCTCGCGTCGTTGTTGCGCTGTTTAAGTAAGGGCTTAGGTCGAGGACGTTGTCCTCGGGCCTTCGCGTACCCTTTCACTTGACTAACGGTGGAAGGGTGAATTTGACTCTATCATCAAATTCCCTTTTGTCCTCTGCTTTTTAGGTAAAGGAGATGTCTCGCGGTCCCGAGGATGAAGTTATGAGGGAATTGTCCGAGGAGAGCTCTTCGGAAGATAGCAGTGCTGATTAAACTTTAGCTCCCGGAATGCCGGCGGAACATCTGGTCCTAGTAGTTTTGGGGGAGTGTGGGTTGTTGTTGAGCCTCTGAAGCATGCCTCCCTCTTTGCTTTTCACACTTAGGATGCCTTCACGATGGTGGGGGTCGAGGGAAATTAGAGGGTCCACTTCCCTGGGGAGAACGATCGAATATGCTCGGCCTACGGAGAGAGGTTCCACATGTACGAGTTTGTCTTTAAGAAGATCGGATTGAGGTTGCCCTTCAGGGACTTTCAAGTGGCAGTCTAGATTTGACGCCCTCCCAACTGCACCCAAACTCGATTGCCTTCATCCGGGCATTCAAGATAACATGTGAATTTCTGAAGATTGGAGCCATTCTCTTCTTCTTCACCGTCTTTCATCTCCAACGCCAGGTTGTTGGGAGGCAATTCAGATGGGTCTCCCTGAAGCAGGGGAGGAAATTATTCAAGTCTTTCTCCGAGTCCATCAGGACGTTTAAGGAGAGGTTTTACATAATTGAGCCCATGTCGGAGAGGGTTAAATACTCCTCATTCGTCTGGGAGGTTTCGACAGACGAGAGCAGGGAGCCCACCATCGACGAGTAGGGCACGATACAGGGGCAGAGGTTGTTGAAGTTCCCCTTCTGCTGGAGCAGGACCATTTTACCCGGGGGACCGATGATTACCTTGCCAATTCACACATGCTAGAAGAGGATGATCGGGCCAACTACGACAAGCTTGTGTCTTTGTTGATGGTTTCCTCCCTGCTCAGTGCGTGACCAGGAGCGAGGACATCATTTATGAAGAAGACTGAGGGGCCTAAGGTTGAGACTCAATATATTAATACGAATGAGCTTCTCGAGTGTGGCACTCGTTGTCGCTACTGCGAAAAAACGAAGGCCGACTGTGACAGAAGAGTCGCCACCGTGTGTTATTTATCCCAAGAGAGGGAAAGGAAACGCTCAAAGAAAACCTAACGAAAAGAGGATAAGAATGGTCATTGCAACCAAATCTCGGGTTCGGGAGTCGGTTACGCAAGGGGAAGGTATTAACACCCCTCACGTCCGTCGTACTTGACGGGATCCACGTTTGTTGTCTATCTAAAAGGGTGATTAAAACTATCTAGCTAAAGGCTTAAGGACAAAAGAAAAAGAAGTGACTCGGCAAAGCAACGACGCTTTGTGCCTACGTATCTCATTTGAAACGAGAAGTCAAAGTCAACGTAGTTCGCCTAACTACGGGTAAAAAGGGGGAAGGTTGCTCGCCAAGACATCGCGTCTTGTGCCTACGTACTCTCAACAGGTATGAGAGATCAGAGCGAACGTATTTCGGGGTAACGAGGAACACAGGTTTGTTCAACAGTTTTTAACGAGTAAGGTTAACAGTCAGTTCTAGCAGTTTGGTGTATGCAACTCGACCTTTGGAGACTTAGGCGTTACCGTTTGCGGTAGAACTAAGGGTTAACAACACTATCGTTATGTAAATGTTTTCCAAAGATTAAAGGCCCCAAAGGGCAAAAAGAAGTTTGAATGATTGTTTTTGTGCTTTTTAGAGAAGAAGTGTTTTTGAATTTGTTTGCAATTCGTATTGCACTAGAGATTATGACTTAGGAGTGAATGCGTCGCATATCACCCAAAGGGTGCTACACTAAACACTCAAGCCATTGAAGGGAGACCCTTCAACAACCATTTCCCAAATAGCTTAAGGCTCGTAACGTACAATACTCATTAACCTTTATTAGGTGTTTTGGATTGTTTAGGAGATGAGAAGAGAAAGACGCACTAGAGGGGGACTAACTCAAACCTAAAATTATCATGTAATGGTGATCCTATGATTGAGATAAAAGGGATGAAACTATCCTAATGTTATCATACATGGTTAAGGTCCTAATGTCTATCATAATCAATCTTGAACAAGAAAGACTAGAGGCCCTAAGGGAAAAGAGACAAGCGAGGAAACAAAAACAACATAAACATGTGAGAATGCAAACATGGAATGAGGGAGGAAATTAGTGTGGGGCAGTAGCCTCCACATGCTCATCTCAACCTAAAACAACAATATGAAATATGCAAGAAAAGAATGGATACGGAAATGCGCCAATGAAAACAAGCACGTGCGCCAAAATGGGATGAAATGGTCTAAACCAAAGCAACATCAACCATAAGACACAAAATCAAGCACAAATGAAAGGTAAATAAGTCCTAAGACCAAAATGAGAATGGGAGGGTAATATGAGGGCAGAAAGGATCTCATAAAATTCTCTCAACCATGAGCATCACCAACCAAAACAAAGAAGCATAAAGAAAACACCACGATGTG